CTATTTAGGAGTCTGGCCCGCCCCCTACCCCCTTCCTCCCCCCTCCACACGTTTAGACTCTGTCCACTCCTTGAGCCTGTCCCTCCCAGTTCCTAGATTAGGAAACTGAGGTTCCCAGTAGTTCCTGCGGCATGTCAGGGCAGAGTAGGGACAAAAGCACAGCCGTGCCTCCCAGCCCCCGCATCGCTGAGGCTAGAAAGATGGAGAGAGGGGACTCACATGGCCATCTCAAACTGCTCCATCCACTTCTTTTTCAGTTCCCGCGTCTTGAAGAACAGCTCGTACCCCTGGGCACCTTGGTCCTCAATCAGGAGAAACATGTGGCTCCACTGCAGGGAAGCCCAGCTTAGGTTAAAGTCCCCTCCCGATCCCTCCTCCCTCCTAGAGGGAGCACAGGGTCAGCCCCATGACAGTGCCCCCTGCCTCTAGCAGGATGGGTATCCTTGTAAATGGCTGCCTGGATATCCAAATACACTTCCACAAGTCCCAAACCTCCCACCCACACACACACCAGTCATAACATGGAACTCATTCATTCATCGGCTCCACAAGCATCTGATGGCCGGGTGCGGTGACTCACGCTGGTAACCCCAGCCCTTTGGGAGGCCGAGGTGGGAGAATCACTTGAGGCCAGGAGTTCGAGACCAGCCTGGCCAACACAGTGAAGCTCCATCTCAAAAAATTTTTCTTTTAATGAAAAACAGCAGGAAGAAGAAGCATGCGTTAAGTGCCTGCTGAGGGACAGACAAGGTTCTAGAAGCTGGGGACAGAGTTGTGAACATAACATCGTCCCCAGGGTTCCAGCCTGGTAGAGAAGACAGACTCCTAAACAGGCAATCATAAGAGAGGAATGAGCACCTCAGTGGAGGAGGAGCAGGGACTGGGAAACAGAGAAGCCACAGTGCAGGACATGGGCGTTAGCAAGAGAAAGAGGGGGAGGAAGTGAGAAGCCAAGAGGGAGAGAGGTCTCAGCTCAGATGTCACTTCCGGCTGGGCACGGTGGCTCGTGCCTGTAACCCCAGCACTTTGGGAGGCCAGGGCAGGAGAATCACTTCAGCCCATGAGCTCAAGACCAGCCTACACGACATAATGAGGGCTCGTCTCCACAAAAATCAAAAAAGTAGCCAGGCACGGTGGTGTGCATCTGTAGTCCCAGCTCCTTGAGAAGCTGAGGTGGGAGGATCGCCTGAGCCCAGGTGGTCCAGGCTGTGCTGAGCCGTGAGTGTGCCACTGCACTCCAGCCTGGGCGACAGAGTGAGACCCCAACTCAAAAACAACAACAACAAAAAGATGCCACTTCCACAGAGGACATCCCTGGCCAATGGGGGTAAGGTCGCATCCCCACACTCACCCACCACGGTCACAACCCCTATTTAATTTTCTTAGTAAAATGCATCCCAGAGCCGGGCTCGGTGGCTCAGCCTGTCATCCCGCACCTTTGGGAGGCTGAGGTGAGTGGATGGCCTGAGCCCGCAGGTTCGAGACCCGCCTGGGCAG